GTCCAAAAAGGGGTCATCAAAGTAAATTGTTTCAATGATGGCATCCCTTAAAGGGGGGTTACACTTTGTCTTTGTGCACCTGCCTGGAGGTAGCTCATCCTGTTTAAAACAGACAAATGACAAATAATGGCAGCTTTCAGGTGGGAATGAAATGACATTGATACCAAGGAATTTTCCATCAAGAAACATGTGCGCTGTCATGCTGAGGACTGAACGTAACACTTCAGCGAAGGTAAAGCTTCTGGAATTATTTTGCAAGTAAATGGGCTGGTAAACATGTCATGCACCTGCAATGTGTTTGATTTAAGCCAATACTTGTGCATGCTCTATCATTCTATTTGACTGTCCTGTTGGGTAATACTCAACAAACCACAATCTTCTTTATTGCCTTTATTTTAGAGGTAGGACAGTGGATAGAGTCAGAAATGAAGAGAGAATTGGGAACGACATGCTGGAAAGAGACCACAAGTCAGATTTGAACCCGGGCCTCCTGCTCTAGAGGACTTTAGCCTCTGTACATGGGCGCACACTAACCGCTAGGCTACCGGCGCCCCCAACCAACCAATGTCCTTAAAAAATAAACTCAAGAGAGTTTAGAAAATGAGGCTCGTGTTAAAGTCCTCGGCCATCCTTAAACAACATCTCCTGTACTCATAGCAGTGTTTCAGTCGACATGTGCACTTCTCTCTATGCAGTCCATGAAGAAAGAGATGAGCAGCATCTGCTCAGTCTGGTCCCTTCATCTCCTCTTGGCTTTCAGGGAGAGGGGGTTTGACTCTGCACGCCTGTCACCAGGCATCATCGTTTAAGTCGATTCAACGCTCAAGCAAAGGGGATTCAGTTTTACCCACTTTATTGAGAGGCAGCACAGAGAGTAATGGCAAATTTATTGGATTGCCATGGTAACACTTGGGAAAAGTGGTTCCGCTCTTCCTCTATGTGTATCTCTCTCTGTTGAGGAAGCTGTTTGGTACGCCTCTCCAGGTCTATCACAGGTCAAAAAGCGGCATTACAATGAACACTGGGCTCGCTCCTTTAAAAATAGATTCCTGAGACGCTTAATATACATTTTACATGTGCTCACTTTGATCTACAGCTTAAGTCCTCCATCAATTTAACCATCTCTCCCTTTGCAAACTTCATATAAATTGATGAGAATTGTTTCCAGAAGGATCTATTTATTTTACATTACTCCCCTCTCCTACAGTGGATGTCTTCTGTCTTTTATTTTCAACATCCACTGTGAGTGTCCGCTAGCCACACATACAATTCTTAATTCTTATATCAGGAACACATTACCTAGCCAAACAGACCATAAAGATATAACATTGTAAACGTCAGATGTATAACGATCCAAGTTATTTGCAGTGACTTTTACTGACTGCAGCTTCTTTCAACTCATATCCATAATGGAGCTGGCAGCTACATCTGTGTACAGTCACAGTGACTGGTACAATCATTGGGAACAATCAGTGAGCATCTGGAGGCACCAGAGCTATCAGCCCACCCCCCAACCCCCCCCTTTCTTTCTAAAGTATTGTGACACACAGTTTTTAAGAGTGTCAATTGAAGAAGAACACAAAATGAGCTTATATCCAGCTAATTGCGGTTAGCTGGACACATAGGGTTGGTTTCATCTTTTATCTGAACTGGGTAATAAATATTTTTAATTCGGTAATACTTATTTAATGGGAAAAAAATCCTTGACTTTTAGTGGTTGGGGTTATTCAGATGATTATGAGAGACTTCGTAAGCAGAATAAATGTATTTTCTTTTATGATAGCTTTTGATCCTTGTATTGTTATTTCTTCTACATTTTTTAAAAGATCATTTTAACTGTTGTTTTAAGATGCTGGATGGCAATGACCTCAGCAGCTTACATGGACATCGACAGTCTGATTACTTTCTTCTCAAATAACGATGGGGATATTTTAACCTTTCTCCTATAATTGATTAGTAAATATGAACTGGGATGTGTGTTCCTTAGTGGCAGTGCAAGGCAATGGCAATGCACAACAGCGTTGAAGGATTTTCTCAAGGATACCATATCAAGTCATCATTTTAAATCCCAGGTCTCAAACTAACCTCCCAATCAAGCATGAAGGGACTACAACACATAAGACGCACTGTACTGTGTGCGCGTGTGTCAGCGCGTGCGTGCGTGCGCGTGTGTGTGTGTGCGTGTGTGTGTGTGTCTGTGTGTGTGTGTGTGTGTGTGTGTCTGTATAAATTCACAACATATAAATTCATGCTACTACCTGTGTATCGTCCTTTCAGCTCATATTTGAGATCATACTTCTGTGCAAATGGCTCCCTAAAATAGAATAAAAAATCATTCTGGTAGTCAGGCACCTTCATATTTTAAAGGGCTCAAAGCACATTATTACGGCTCTAGAAGACTGTCCTCACAGAATGAGATCGGCTTGTGGTACCCAGAGCCTGTATAAGTAGCATGGGAGGTAGAGCCTTCAATGAACAAGCCCCTCTCCTTTGGGATCATCTACCAGTTTAGGTCAGGAAGACACTCACATTGTAGCCGTTAAGCCTTTCTTTTCCATAAAGCTTAGTGCTTGCTAAGGCTTGGGCAAGGCCCTAGTTATACTGCTATAAGCTTAGACAGCTGGGAACCTGACGCATTGAGCTCCTGTCTCTCACTCTCTCGCTATTATGTTTGCACTAATGTCCCATTGATGCATGTATCTAACTGTATATTGGTTCCTGTTGAACATTACCGTGGACTGCTTGCTGCTTTTGACCTGCTGTCTCCACCTGCTACCTATCAGACTTATTATTTATTAAGTATGTTTTATCTGTTGTTGTTATTGTTGCTCTGTTTGTTCTCTCCATTTATCTTTTTCTTTTTTGTCCCTCCCTCTCTCCCACTTTCTCAACCAACACAGTCACAGCAGGTGGCTGTTCATCAAGAGCCTGGTTCTGATCAAGGTTTCTGCCTGTTTAAAGGAAGGTTTGTCCTTGCCACGGTTGCCTAATGTTGCCAAATGTTTGTTCATGGTGGACTTTTGTGGGGTCTCTTTAAAACGCTGACAAAGATTGATTACATATTGCTTTTCTATTTCATTTCTCTTGAACTTTGTACACTTCAGTCTAGAGCTGGGTAGTTGATGATAATTTTGTTTTTAATTGACTTTAATTGACAACCATTACAAATATAAATTTACTTTACCATTGAAAATCAAGCCTAACTTAATAGTCCATTTTGGTCAGGCCCAGTTCAGGGCTAAAGGGCCTTTCAGATAGGACGCGGTGAGCTCGCCCTGGACTAGGGCGGAGAGCGCACACGATCAGAAAACTAAAGCACGCATTGCTAGGTGGATGAATCAATAGTCGGGAAAATAGGTGGGGAAAGTAACTTCTGCCACAGCATTATGTAGGCCTATGTGTCCACTATTTCGAAAAAAGCCTGGATTTTTCTTCTGCTGCAGAGTGGGAGACGAGCAGCAAAGAAAAAGAGGTTGTGTGTTCATGAGATCATCAGGGTAGGAGATACGCTCTTGCGCGGCGCAACACAATACACAATGAATGGATTTGACTGCGGTGCACAGTGCCCACAACTTCCTATTTGAAAGGCGCTTCAGGGATATTTGTGTTCATGATGTGATGCTGGAGTTTTGGCTTTATCCAATTACTGAAACGATCATGGAAATAATTAAGTGTTACTGGCATTTAACCAACAATCAGAGTTATTAGATGTCAATACAGATCAACATAAACTAAACAACATTTCCCTAGATATAAATATAGAAACATAGATTCATATTTTTCACACTGAGACATATTCTCTTTCAGCAGGAGCTCTACCACTGATAGATTCTCTCATCCCACTGTGTCTTCTGACATTTTTCTCTTTAATTGAGTGGGAGCTAGCCAAGGCCTTTTATCAACCTTACTGTAAGCTGCAGAATTTTATGACATTTATATTAATGCACCAAATGGGAAAGCTTCAATTAGCATAGTGCTTGTTCCTAAGTTGTTAAACATGACTTATAATTTATGTCTACCTGTATGGTCCATTTAAAAGCTGTGTTCCTCCTGGACTTAATGAAATGTTAAATCTAATATGCCTTACAGGGAGGATTGTGTGTCCACAGCACAGGGGAACTATTCATAAAATCTCATATGCCCATGTACTGTATTTCAGGCTTGATAGCCACAGTATGGTCAAGGACATTCATGGAGAACAATCTACTGTTCTTCCAGCTGCAATATCGTATTAATGAACAGTAGATCTTGTCGTCATTTACTACAGCGAAAAGGTGATTATTGTTTCACCTGCTTAATCAGTAAAGAAAAAACTAGCAAAACACTTTGTTGCAATTTACCCCTGCACCACCCCCCTACCTCATTAATCCTGTAGAAGTCTATAAAGTGTAACAATAACATTTTGATGCCACATTGGCTTCCCAAATGAAGAACATGACTGTGTTTGGTAGAATGCACAACCTTGAAGGACCAACTGCTGCCAATTAAGACATTGGTTTCCATGGCGGAGGTGGTGGTGGATGTTTATTTTGCCTCTGTGTGACCCCTAGTTTTAGGTCAATGGCACACATTAGACCACTTTTTTTGGGATGAATGATATAGTGAATAATATTTCTGATACATGTTTTCTGAGCTTTTTAAGATGTCTGTATGTCGATCTTTGGGTTCATATTTGTCACTGACTATCATACATTGAAGGTTTTATTTTTTAACCTGAAACAAATTTAAGTTATTGTATAAAGGCTCCAAATCTCTTTAGATATTGAAACACTTCACTGAATTCATGAATTTGGAAGTTGTCTTGTTAAAAATGTAATGAGATGTGCTTTGTTAACGTGACACCGCTGGCAGCTGAAGAAATAGGCCAAGCCTGCTTAGTGTGACAGAAACAAAACATGGAGCAAAGGCCACTAAAACAATAACTTTTATGAGCATTTTCAGTTATGAAAAACAGTATAATTCCATTTGTATGATAAGCCGTTATATATTTTATCTCTTACCTGGTGTGTCCCCATATGGCTTTGGTGGTTTGACAGTCTCCCCGAAGCTGACAGTGGCCTTGGTGGTGCTTAACCTCTTGGCCTCTGGTGTGGTCACCACAGTGAACGTCCTTTGGGAGAGCCTGGTTGTAGTGCTAGTGGTTGTGCCCACTGTGGTAGTTGAGACCCTTGTGGACAGCGTCCCGTTAGGCTCCAATTTGCTATCATCATCTATGCTATCTGTCCCTGTGGGCCCCCAGTCAATAAATCCGGCCACTGTGGTAGTCCGCCCCTCCTGAGACTTGTCGTTTTCCCATTTGAGCTGCCTCTTGGCTCTGAGTAACAACCTCACGGTGTCTCCTGTACTCCCGCTGGATAAAGCTCCAGGAGCATCGGCTTTTACAGCCAAAGGATCACTTGTCTCCTTTGGAGAGTATCTCAACTGGCACTCCTTACACGCTGGTTGTCCTTTATATGCTGGCTTCCAATGCAAATGACCCTTTACTTTCGGTCCTATCCCTGCCCTATTGTCTTGGGGTGGAGGAATAGGGTTCAGGAGCCGGCGGGCCAACGGACTTACTGTTCTCCAGTGAAGCTTGTTGGGCATGTCCCAGAGAAGCTGCCACCGAGGTCGTGAGCGAGGCACTGATTTAGGGGTGAGTTTAATCCCTAGACCCTGGCTGAGTGGGCTGCACACAGAGAAGTCCAGAGTGAGGTGAGTCATAGCCAGCAGAATCCACACCCGGTTCCCCACACAGCTGCCTGGCCTCGTGGCAGACGGACTGCAGAGAATGGAGAAAAGTAAATAAGTTAAAAAAATAAAACTTCAGACAATACAATCAAGTTCCTTCTATCCCATACCTTCAGTTTAATGGAATACATAAAGATTCATATCTTTATTCACCCTTCATAAGCACTTATGGCAAAGTTTTACCCATGCACTTCTTTAACGTCTACTCAATTGAGCGAAGATACCAAGCTTAGTAAACGTAGTGAAAAGTACATGTTGTAAAATGTGAAAGATTTAGAATTTGAACTTTATGCTCTCAGCTTGTCAGAAGAAGTAAGAACTCCATGATGTAACAGATCCATATCAATCCCAGGATGAATACAGCAACATGCAAGGTCAGGCCTGGTTTGACTGATCATCATATTCTACATTATCTCCCTGAGACACAAAGTCATCTGATTCCCAAAGGGCAATTTGATTATGCATTGCAATGATCAGGGAGGAATATTCCTTTAATTTATTCAGTACTGAACCGTGTCCTAAAATGTCCTTTTTCTTACTGTATAGACCTCCTGCTCATCAACAAGATTGCAAAGTGATAGATAGCCTGGCTATTCGGGGTAGGAGCATGCACTGGACTGTTTTTACAGACAACCTTCAGTGCCCCCTGGGACAAAGCTCCTCATTGATTGCTAAGGGAGAAACCTCATTATGGGCTATCTTTCATCTCTGCTGTCCTTGGCCAATTTAAGCCCACACGAAGGACTAACGTTGAAAGCATCACAGAGGTGTCGACAGATGGAAAAAGTGTGAATGGGCTCATCACCTTTTCGATGCAACACAGATGTCTGTTGATCCTATAATCAACCAGCTTTGTTATTACAAGTCTGTAAGGGTCGTCTAGCTATGCTGTAGTGATATCTTCAGTTGCATCTCTGGTCAGTAGTAAGTTACAATTTAGATTTTTCTGACATAAAATCTGCAATACTATTTTTGTCAAATGTAAAGGTTATGCAATTGGATTATATATGGTAAGAAATTATGTTTTTTTCAATAATTCATTCTGATGAACCCCTTGCCCCATTTTGAGGTCAGTAACCCAGGGTATTGTTAGTCTCTTTTCTGGCAGAGAATGGAGGGAAACAAATTTGATTTTGAATTTGATGTTTGACAAGGATAATGGTAAAAGGGTTCTTTTTTTAATTTTTTTTTAGAGTTTGTCAAATCTAACTGTTTGACAACAATTACAGTACCGATTGCCTTTCACGTGGAAGTAAAATGTGCATTGATGAAAAAGTTTTTCAGCTAGATAAATGTTAGCATGGCCATCCCATTACTGAATTATGTTTATCTGCCACATGCAGGGTTCAGCCACACACACACTCAAACGCACACAGTAGATAAGAGACAAAAAGATGGAAAGTTGACAAAGTCCTGTCCTTGTCGATCTTTTGCAAGCAAAAAAAAAAGGTGTTAAAAGCTGAAACAACAAAGGAGTCTCATTATAGCAAAAATAGCTTACACTAATCAATGCGGAAAAAATCCTCTGTTGACCCTGATCAGATCTTTGAGATTAGACTGAGGCATTCCTTATATCTGGTCTCAACTAGCAATGCCTGTCTGCCTTATCATAGAGAGAACATGGTTTATGACAGAACAAACTCATCACACTCCTCACTCCCAGTGGATGTGCCCTGCTTGCGACCCACACTGGTGTGCTAAAACAATTGTGGAGGCAGCTAAATGATTTAGCACTTGAAAAACAAGACACATTTCGCTAGACAGCAAATTGTAACATAACTTAAGGTATTGTATCTTGTTGTGTTATGTTGTGGCGTGGCATATTGTATCATTACAACAAAACCGTGTAAAAAATGTCCCTGAAATCTGACAAACAAAACAAAGGGGATGCTGCTTGATGCTAATGGGACCTTGTATTTGTCCAGAAACCAACTGTAAGGTTGGTAGGTTAGTTTAATTATGTTGTTAGAAAACATTTAAGGTACTTGTATGATATTTGTTCAGATATGAAAGCTACATTTGCTACTGCAATCTCCAATTTATTTTTTAAATGATTGTATGGTCTGCCCCTTCTCTAGTTTGTGAATTTATTTCAGGACATCATGATTCTGATGAGCCTCAGTAACTGTCGATTTCCAATGTACAAAACCTCATTTGGACAATCAGCCTTCTCTGTTGTAGGAGGTAAACTCTGGAATAGTCTACCTACAACACAGTTTTCATGTTTAAACAAAGGTATTAAATCATGGCTGAGTTCCCACACATTTATTTCTAAAAGCCTCGCGTGGACAGGTGTTGCAAATTAGCATTTTGCTAAAAAAAAAAAACTAAGAGCAGTGCATCTTTGACTTGTGCATGATTAAATGTTACAGCACCAACGTTGTCAAATAAACAAACAAATGAATACATTTTGTTTTTGAGTATTTTTGGATCACAAAAATGCTCTCATGTATCATTGACATGTACCTGTCTGAATATTAAAGTCATTTAAATTACAAAAACGCTTACTCCTACTCTAAACTTTAACAATCTAGGTGATGGTTCATATTTGTTCTGCTCTGCATGCAGGATGTTGAACACATTTATTTTATAGTCACTCCACTTTTTCCGTTTCTAAAAGTTTTGAAAGATCCGCCCACCATTAAAGGATAATATAATTTAGAATGGCATTTTAATTGAACCATAAATGGTGATTGATGTGGTCATAAGGAAAAGTGACAAGGTCAGAGTAATATTGACAGTTAAAAGTTCTGTGTGTGCTCGGGGCACTGACCTAAGACTGTTCAGCTGGCACGTTGCCACTGAGCACACACTGAGGCAACTAAAATTGAACTTTTCCGGCCAAGCTAATGCATCACCAGACTAAGAACGTGATGAAAGTTATCACTGCTGAAATGATCTTGAGCAGGAAGATGCTGTAAAAAAATTGAATGGACATGTTTTTAAGCACCTTGGTAGTGGATCTGCTTCAGTGACGGCTGGTAAATAGAGGGCGCTATAGGGCACTGCCCCACCACTGCACAAGGGGACTGACAGGCATTCACTGAAAACGGCTTCATATGAATATATATATACAGGGCTTACAGAATAAGACTGTCCAATTTTGTCTACTCTATATTCAAGCTATGAGTGCTGCAGACAAAATTGGCAGTGCGTTTTTTTCTACCCCTGTAGCAAAAGAATGACTCCCTAATATTCTTTGACATTACTCATAATGAAAATATTGTTTGGAAGTAAACTGCACAGATGGCAGATTAAGTGCAGTACTTACAGCATCAACATACCAGATTGCTTTCTGGTGGGAATGCGTGTCTAGTGTCCTATTTTATGAGCAAATGCTTCATCTTTCTGTCATTACTGACTTCCGTCGTTAAACCTCAACAATATGGCAGAAAATCCCTTTAGTGGAGATTGTGACGTCTCCTGATTCTGAGCTTATGCTGTCCCTGTCTCGCATTTTTTTTTTTATCAACACAATGCATTGTGATTGTACATGCAGTAACAGGAGAGACGGGCAATCACATTTTCAAAAGGAAGAAAATACAGATTTAGCTGGAAAAGCTGAAAACCTGGTATGGTAGTAGGACATTCTTATGCTTTTACTTATTTTATTCATGGGTAAAGTTAATGTTAAGTATGAGCTACTTCACACACATTATTTAGCAGGGTTCTGTGACCCAGTAAGCTAATTTCAAGTCCTGGGTCTCAGTATGAAGTCCATTCTAGAGCCAGACATACATGAAATGAAATTACTTTGTGAATTTATGCAGCAAACTGTTCATTAGCGTGCCTCTTGGCCTGATTTGAAGGCCATCTTAAGGCTTGCTGGAATGAGGATTTTTAACCAGGACTTCAGACAGCAGATGAAAGCTGCAGCCTGAGATCCTGCTCACAAAAACAGCAGGGGAAAAGAATCTCTATGCATTACATGTTTAAACCTTTCTGAAGCCTCTGCTATCAAAATACAGAAACACATTTTTTTATGATATTTCGTGTTTGCTTCATATCCCTTTTTTTCCCTATTGATCCAGCTGCTATGATGCCTACCATATGTTCTGTTATAGCAGATACAGAGACCGTGCGTATGAGTGAGTGTGCATTTATGTGTGTGTTTGATCCCAACCTCTGCTGTCCTTCATCAAGCACAAGCAAAGCAGAGTTTCAGCAGAAAGCCAGTGATGTAATGGAATATGTAAGATGTGATATTCAGAGCAATACATTTGGATTATGCGTCTCGAAAAAGCGCTGGAGGAGGGTTCACCAAGCTTGACTTTTCTGTCTCCTCTGTGCCAGTTTAAGCTGTGCTATATTCACTAAATCTACTTCCAACTTATTCTGCAGCTTCCTGCGAAATGCCACTGTCACAGGCGTTAGGATTAGGCCTTGACAGGAAAATTAAACACGTGCTCACCAAGAACTACGTCTGAAGCACATAATTAAGGTTTCCCGTTTTAACACAATATCATCGGCATATGCCTCAAGCTCTGATGCATGCCGCTGACTTGCGTTTTTAGAGTTAGTCGTTAATAAATAATGCTCAGTAAGTGTGTTTACAACATGCCTACAGTCAAAAGGGACGGACAAGAAAAAAGTCTACACTGAAAATCTTTCAGAAAGAATTTAAATAGCAGAAGTGAGGACTTTGCCAGCATAGTTACAGAACAGAATGGCTGTCTCCCAAATGCAGCTACCACAGTGGAAATTTTATAATATCCATGTCACAGGCTGCGAGCTGCAGTGCTGTGCAAACAGGGAAACATTAGACCCAGTAATCCATTGCACACATAACTTAATAACATTTACTGGTCCTTGAAAAAACTGGAAGCCTCACATAACCAACATAATACCTTCAAAAGCCCGAAATGAATGAAGAGTGGCCTTTGAAGTCTATGAAAAAGATTCACAGCATTATCCTGAATTAAATGCTTGAGCAAAGGGTGGGCGCGGTTAATACAAAATAAAAGGCCATTCATACAGACGGCTCTGCCTCACCAATACAGGTTTCTTTGCATAAGAGGATGTTGTCCACAT